ATATATATATATATAAAGACTGGATGTAGATGGAATATTTTTTCATTTAAAATTCCAAGGAATGTTTATCATATAGCGGTTATCAGAACTTTCACTCAATGACCTGAATGTTGTATCTAGATCAACATGAGTCTTTCATTTCATTCTTTCAGTACCTTTTGATGTGAACTGGTATAAGTGGTTCAATGACTTCCCTCCACTCTCTATTTCTTTCTTTCTTTCTTTTTTTAAAGGATTTATTTGTGTATACAGAACTGGGGTACACGCCAGAGGTGTAGGGGCAGTGAGAGGCTTCACCAGAGACAGAGTGGGGAGCAGAATAGGCAGATTGATGAAATACACTGCTGAGGGGAGTGGTGGGCTGGTCAGGAGAGGTCCGCTGCACCATATGGATCACCTCCAGGGCAGGCGGGGATGGAACTCATGTGGAAGTGGCTTTAGCTTCTTAGTGCAGTGCTTTAACCCACTGCGCCACCAGGGAGGGCCCACTCTATTTCTTAAGTGAATTTTCTGTGCAAATAATCTCTCAGCACATACTGCATAATACTTCGGATTTTATGTATATAGCCCTACTCTCATTGTAATTGAAGTTAAATGAGTTTTGAAATGTCCCTGAGTTTTTTATTGGGAAGACAGAAATGTCAGGGTTTCCTGAGATAATGTAATTCTCCCTTTTGGCAAATCAATTTTTAAATCAAAGTTTAATCAGTTTAGATGGACTTGAAAAGTGTTCTTTGTTAACGAGTAGAAATACTGAACACATATAAGAGGGTGTTTTTGGGCATGATTTGCACTGGGATTTTCAAGAGTTAGTTCATACAGTTATAAAACATCATAATACATTTTCCTTCCCCTACCTCTGCTTCTCCTTTATGATTAGAATCCCTGCCAAAAACATATTTGCATATATGTATATATATATATATATATATGTATTTATCCAAAACTTCTGGACTGAGAAGTCAGCTTTATGACTGTCTTCATTTTCAGAAAATCTCAGTCCTTTCTCCATGACCTTTATAGGCTGTCTGTGTGGTTAATCATTCTTGGTACATTTGTTCCCACCAATTATAATTTTAGTCGGTTGAGATGAAAAGGAGAAAGAATTTGAAATCACAGCAAACAAATCTATGACTTAGTCTATTTAATAAGATATAAATACTCATTGTGCTATTTAATAGTGTTTAGTAGCCTCTCTTCTGGCAACATTAAAGGTAATGCTTTCTTTCTATTGATATTTTCATGATATTGCATGCAAATTTCTTTCTAGAGAAAAAGTAACCTTTCACAGACTAGAGACACAAAAAATGATTCAGCAAAAATAAAATGATTAAATTAAGTTAATCAGCATCGGATTTGTGAACAAAGATTTTACTGTCACTGACCTGGGTCTAGTTGAAGGTAGATTCCTGGGCTTTCGACTGAGAACAGTCACTGCTTGCTTCTCCTCTGGACAGAGGTCACAGAGCTACAAATGAAACCCATGAACTAATAGTGGAACTCTGGAATTCTTACCTCTCCAGACTACTTTCCCAGCCTTGGACTGTTTAGTCTATTCTGATCAGCAGGGATTTGCTCAGAAGATGAATTGGCAGGTCTAGGATATTATTTTTTAACTCAGTTTTGTACTTTCCTATGAAAGTTTAAGCTCATTTTAAAAACATTTTCTTTTCCAGTCAGAACGATATTCAATTCAAATTAAAATGGAAACAATGAAAAATGTTTCAAATCAGGAAAAGCTACTATATGGAACTAAAATATGTATAAAATTACATCAAAAACATTTGTTTAGTCACTATTTTCTCTAATCAATTCTCCCCAAATTTGGCTTTCCACAAAGCCATTGAAAAATGTGGAGAGAGCTCCTTTTATTCCTGGCTTAAACTTTACTTCTCACCCACACTAAAGAGAGTTGTGTCTCCCAAGCAAATCTTCATCTTTTTGTTGTTTACTTAAATCCTTTGTAATCATTCTCCATTTACTCTGGGAAAATATTTAAATAGCCTTTCACAACATGCAGTGTTTGGGAATGCACTGACCTCTATGGCCCTCAGAGGGTTAGTAATTGGCTCAGTGTAATCTTGCGGAAGCATCAACTAAGGTCTTCCATCTACATTTATCATCTGGCACCAACAAACATCATTAGCGGCCAGCATTAGGCATGCAGTTGAGCTTTGGCTAAACATCTGTCTCTGGAAATAGTTTAGGATGAGAGTTGGGTGGAGTACATTGAACAGTTTATTATAGGGCCTGGTAGCTTATGTTTTTTTTTTTTTAAGATTTATTTATTTATGCATACAAGAACTGGGGTATAGCTCAGAGGTATGGAGGGTGAGAGGATTCACTCCAGACAGACTGAGGAACAGAATAGGCAGATTAATCAAAATATACTGTGAGGAGAGCAGCAGGTGGATCAGGACAGGTCTGTCTCACCATGTGGGCCACCTTCCTGGACAGAGATCGAACTTGTGCTACAGTGGCTGTGGAGCGCCTCACTGAGCTGCTCTTTAACCCTTTGTAGCATCAGGGAGGGCCCCAGTAGCTTATGTTTATGTTGGTGACCTTGGAGTAGTTTTAGAGTGGCTTTTTGCATAAGTCAGAGTTCAGAGAATAAATACATTTCTCTCTGAAAGCAGGCCTGCTTTTGGTGGTCTGGTTGGCCAGAAACTGGAGGTGTCAGTCCTCAAGTTTTGTGTCACATTATCCCGTAAATTATGACTATGCTACTAATGACTGAAGGTGCTTAAGTTACAGGATTCTCTGCTACCAAATATAGAATAATTTAAAATCATGGACATATCAATTTCCTTTAGGGTGATCAGCTAAGTGACAAGATTCTCATGACGCATTCTGAGAAATACAACTTTTCTTTCTACCCTACAAAAAGGGGATCATTAAGATTAGAGTTAAGTACTGTGCTTTCTTACAGTAGTCACTGAGAGAAATCACACTTAAGCAAGTACTAGAGAATAGAAAAACTACAGAAAGGAGACTCAACCATAATCTTTTCTTCCTCAGCTTCTGAGATGATGAAGAGCTGACTACAATTCCTCTCAGAACCACCTCTCTTTCTTCTTAGATGTTACCTTAGAACACTTCTGAACCCGAAAGGGAAACACTCTCTTCATCTCTATGTTAATCAGCTAGTTTTGCATCTTTTCTGCCAACTTAACTTTGTCTTTCTCATGACATATTTTATGTGGAGAAGTAAACATAGCAAAATTGATCATTTTAACCCTTTTACATATATAATTAGTGATAGTAAGTATATTGACATTGTTGTATAAACATCACCAACAGATTCAAGTCCTTTGTTCATTAAAAAAATTGACTAATTTTTGTTAGAGTTTTGCAAGTTCTTTATAATTTTTTGCTATTAACTTGATTTGGTTAAATGGTTTGCAAACATTTTTTCACACTTTACAGTTTGTTTTTTTTTCACACAGTATATAAAGGTAAGCTATGAGTTTGTACTTGGAATGTTTTGCTATACCTTCTTACCTTTGGTCAGGGAAATGATTTATTTTGGGATGACCCCAGATTAGAACACAAATTGTGTCTCCTGGAGTCACCATTGTGCAGCACAACAGTTTTAATGTTTAGTGTCCTGCCTTAATGACTCTCCTGCCACAAACCCATTCATTCCTGGTTATCTCTAGCTCTCAGAATATTAAATGTACCTTGACTATAGTAGTTAGATTAAGGCTATGTATTTTCAACAAAATACTGAGCTTCCATGCCTTTTTATTAATATTTTAATTACTTGGTCTACTGATTAGATAGCCAAACTAGAAGTTTTATGGAGAACTTTTCTACTGAATATTTAAAATCAGATTTTCCATACATTATAACATTTTTATTTTAATTAACTTTGCCCCTTTGATTAGTAATTTGTAAATGTATACAGGTGGGAGAAACTATCATTTAATCAAGCATTGATACTTTATGAAAGAGGAACCACTAGAGATCTGGAATGCAAAGGAGCAAGTTATACTTAGTGTCACATTCTCTTACATTGAGATCATTATCCTTGCTACTAGTCAAGTCATCCTTCTATATGAATTCATGATTTTGCTTTTAGCTTTTCTTCTCACATGAACTATTAGCCAAGATTACTCCTTGGCTCCAGAGCTTCCTCATGGCGTTTTTCACCTCTGTGTTTCTGAGAGTATAGATTATTGGATTTAACATGGGTGTTATCACTGTATAAAACACAGCCACTGCTTTATCAATGGGGAAGGTGACCATGGGTCGAAGGTACACAAATATACAGGGCACAAAGAAAAGGGTGACGACAGTAACATGTGAAGCACAGGTGGAGAGAGCCTTCCACTTTCCATCGGTGCTGTGGGTTCTTAGGGAGCAAAGGATGAAGACATAAGAAGTGATGAGAATAGAAAAAATGAGCATGCACATTAGCCCACTGTTGGCAGCAACGAACAGCCCAAAGATATGAGTGTCTGTGCAGGAGAGCTTTAGCAGAGGAAAAAGATCGCAGATGAAATGGTCAATGACATTTGGACCACAGAAGGGCAACCAGAGTATAAAAAGAATTTGAATGAGAGCATGAAGAAATCCGCCTGCCCAGGCCATGGCCACCAGGAGGCCACAGACTCGTCTGTTCATGGTGATCAAGTAGTGCAGGGGCTTGCAGATGGCCATGTAGCGGTCATAGGCCATCACTGTGAGCAGGATGATCTCAACACCTCCAAAGAAATGCTCTGCAAAGAGCTGAGTCATGCACCCGTGGAAGGAAATAGTTTTCTTTTTTGCAAGGAAATCAAATATCATTTTGGGAGCCATGGTAGAAGAGCAGCAGCCATCTATGAAGGACAAGAATGATAGAAAAAAATACATGGGGGAGCCCAGGGATGGGCTGCTGTTAATTGTTACTACAATCATGAGGTTGCCTGCCAGAGTGAGGAAGTAGATGACAGTAAACACCACAAACAGAAGTTTCTGAACATCTGGGTTCTGTGTCAGACCAAGTAGGATGAACTCCGTCACGTTGTTCATTTGTTCCATGAAGCCAGCTTGGCATTGGGATGCTTGATTGTCTGTGAGTAGTACAGGGATTGCAATTGTAGCAGGTACCGTTTGCTCAAGCAAAGAATGTGTTGGCTTTATTTTCTGCAAGACAGATGGAAACCCCAGCAGGTACAGCAAAGACCTAAAGTTGGGTCATAATATTAGCCACATAATGAACACCATCCTTTTCCTCTGTTTCACACAGATGCATCTGCACACACACATACTCATTAGTACACACTAACTCTCTCCCCTCATCTCTCATCTAGTCACTTGTGCTGATGATATCAGCTGTAGAGTTTGTTCACTGTACTGAGTGAAATTTCAGGCTCCAGAAAGATACACATGGCAATTAGGATTGTGAGTTTACTATATTCAGCAGAACTGTCTAAGAACATCATCAAAGAAGGATGATAAATACTCTGAAGGGATTATAAGCAGGAGGGTGCACACTGCCACATTCCCCAGATTTATTTGAAACTTCAGAATTTTAGAAATTTAGAATTTATTATTTGGAGAACTTCTGTCATATTTAGGTTTCTGACTTCAAATTAGAACTCTAGATAAGGAAGACTGAAAAATTCCCAGGATATATTTAGAAAGCAGATGCTTGTAAGGTAAGGAGCTAACTATTTTTTCATTCTGTTTTCTCTAATTAGCAGCCATGTGATATTGTTTACTGCACTTCAACTTTATTATATATAAAACAGAAAAAATAACAAATAATATGGAGGAGTTGAAGTCTAGCATTTTGACATTTTATCCTAAAAGTGAAACTTATTGCTCTTTAGAGTTTCTAACTTCTTGATGAAGAGAATAAAAAACCCATATTTAATTCTTGAAATACTTGATTGATAATAATATTAAGAAAGAACAAAAATACATATTATTTCATTCCGATTGATATATTAGGAAAGAAGAAAAAAGAAAAAAAAAGATATAAAATTAAGAAAGAAAAAAAGAGAAATGAAAGAACTAAGTATTTCTTACCTCTGCAGGAGGTAAGAAAACTAGTTATTTTCAGAACATATTGAATGAAGAAATTACTACATCAGGCAGCATAAAAATATTAACAATAAATGATGTCAATAGCTTTTTTGGTATTTTAAAAATACAAACAACACTGATATGCTCAATAAGAAACAAGCATAAGCAAATTTAAAATGACATTGGGTTAAAATAATAATTAAGAGGTAATAATTACATAATGATTATTATGTAATTCGTAAAGGGTTTTTCAACAACTGGCTAAATGTTGTTTAAAATAGTCTTTTAAGGGCATCATCAACCCCACCCCGCAAGAAAAAAACAAACAAAAATGCCTACAAAAATTCAAGTATTAATTATTAAAGTCATCATCAAAAACAGGAAAACAAAGAAAGCAATATACCTAACATGTGGATATATTAAGGGAAGAACATTTTAAACAAAATCTAAGTTTCTAAAATACAGGGCAAAGCTAATGACTTCAATATGTTCCACATAGTGATGGAACAAACTAGAATAACACTTGCATCAAGTATAGCAGGGAACCATTATTATAGAAGGTCTGCTCACACCATTTTAGATATAAGGGCAAAGAACAAAATCTAAAAATTCTCTTTCACAAACCATTAGTAAAATACGTTAAAATTGGCAAGTTGGCAAAGATTTGTGAGTGCAGTATTACTCAGTGCCATTGAATGTGTGTACAGAATATTCTGGTAGCCATTTGACTATGTAATTAGGGCTTTATAAATGGTCATGTTGCTTTGTCCACTATACTTTGTACTTAGGGATCTAATCTAGATAAAAAAAAATGGACAAAAATGATAAGAATGTATTTCATGACTTTTTTTAAGACGGTGAAAAAGTAAATGTTTACATAAAGGATAATTAAATAAATTATAGTTACAAAACATTAGGCAGATATTGAAGTTCTTTGCAAGAAGGATTAAGAGGTAGAAAGATTCTTCCAATATTATATTGAGTGGAAAACACAGACTATAAAATTGATCTAATTTGTCTAAATACATACACACACACACAAACACATTCAGAAAAGTATCTGAAAAAAATCCACTAAAGATTAATAGTGCTTGTTTGAATATTGAGTTCATTCTTTTGTAATCTTTAAAAATTTTTCTCATCTAATTTTTCTACATACAGAGTGTATTACTTTATCATCAGTAAAATAATTTAGCAAAGGGAATTTGATGGTTTTATCTCGTGTCTTGTTTTAGAACATCTTGAGTGTCTGCTTTTCTTGTTTACGCTAAATATGCTGTTCATTGCTCATACCCATCTGTGACAATAGAAACACATGTTTACATCTGTGAATCAAAGAACCTTCTCACCTTGAGAAAAAACTGTGAGACACCACCGTTTGAACCTACCTTTCTGAATGCAGGTGGCAAAGAAGTAGCAGATTCAGTGCATCACAGAGTCTTACTTGGACAGCACTCCATCCACATGTTGTAGTCACTGACCTGTCACCAACTGCTACTTTGCAGGTTCATTCATTTTTATCTTAGGGACAATATTTCCTTTTTTCGCTTAGTGACTTATAAAGGACTGCCAAGAGAATCTTTCAAAATGCTGCTATGTTCATTAGTTGGTTTTACTTTTGCCTTTTAGGTCACTAAAAGGCACAAGCAGCCCATGTCAGATAAGAAATTTCTTTAGTTGGACGAATTCTAAAGTGGTAGGTTTCAAACGAATTGAAGGGAGAAAAAGCCCTAGCTGATGGAAGACATCTCTCTCCCAACCACCTCACTACAAATTTGCCAATCTTTCTTGATGACCAGGTGATATATGACAGCTACCTGATTTGGGATAGAACCTGGTTCAGTGTCCTAAAAATAAGAAACCATATGAAATCAGAAACAGCAGGAATTGCAAATGTTTCTAAGAGCCAGTCTGCAGTCTGCCTGGAGCCACCTCCTCTTGTTGCTGGGAGTCAGGATCCAAGTGGGTTGGAAATGCTCAGCCAGCAGCTTCTGCGGTCCACGGCTAGCTAACCTTATATAGTCTTCCATGGTCTGTTCTTATCAACATGTTTAAGTATGATTTCAGGGAAATTTGAATGGATTTCACTCACGTGTGAGGAGTTAGTGTGGTTCAGACTTTTCAGCTCCCTGAGGATTAGAATTAGCAGCTTTTGTTCAAGACAATTTATCCTTTTCCTCTAGTGGTGCTGGCATCTGTTGCCAAGAGGGTGGTGGGGCACTTGCTGGGCTGGGCTAGCAACCTCTTTATGACTGTCTACAGGAGATAAGGCACAGAATGTTCTAGTCCTGGGAGAAAGGGTGCAGAGTCAATTAAAGGACCCTAAAAATACTGGCCTCAAAGAGTTATGAGGCAGGTAGCAGTTATGAGGGCATCTAACTCAGGGCAAAGCTGGTCAGCCCCACTGCAATAACCCAAGAACAGACACAGGCAGGCAGGAGAAACTGGTCTGAGTCATGCTGAAGATAACAGATGGATCTTGAGGGCCCTGGAAAGGTTCTAGGAGACACAGGAAATGTCCGAGATTTGTTCTGAGAACGAATCCATTCTGAACACGTTGTATACATGTTCCTCTATTTCATCTAATTCTCTGTAGTCAGAGGACTAATAACTCTTTTATGTTTAAGGATTTTGATGCTCACTGTGAGCATCTTTTGGTCAAGATTAAAAAGTCAACATCTGGTGGAGTTGGGATTTAAATACAAATTGATACAAAGCCCGAGAGCTGATGTTATTATAGCACACTGGACGCTGTCCTCATGCACTGGGACTGCTGGAGAGGGTGTGTGGATTCAGATCGGCTGGGGATGTTTGGAGGCTTTAATTCTGTCACCTGTGTCAGGCAAGGTGCATTCTCCGTTCCCATGTGCAGCCGTGACACCAAGGAGAACAACTTCTCATCCTTTCCTAGGGCTGGAGACCTGCCTGAACACTAGCTCAGAAGTTTTAGTTTTAAAAATTTCTTGATGCAGCAGAGTGAAGATTGAGCAGAAGGCTCAAATTTAGGACAGGGAAGAGTCTCCTCATGGGAATAGCTATTTCCCTTCTTCCTTCTTTCTTAAGCATAAAAGAATTAATAGTCCTTCTCTGACTATGGAGAATCAGATGATGTCAGGTGGTCATATATGTGGGGGGAAGTGTGTTCCAACCCCAGGCCATACATGAGAATCTGGATTAGTCTAAAGTAACTATGGTGACACTACTGTCCTTTCTGGTGATTTAATTGAGGATAGGCATTGATGCCACACTCATCACAAGACTAAAGAGGGTATTTTTTCCTGTGTGATAGTTCTCTGACCTTTACAGTCACAGGCAATGATCTCTCTTTTCTGAATAATGCCTTTTGAAAGGAATTGGGACCAAGAAGGCAGCTGAAACAGCTAAAACATGCCCAGTGTTGGCAAGGTGATCGGATGTTGTTGTTGGATTTTATTCAAAAAGGTTTTTGTTATTGGGAGATGTAATGATATTTTGAGCTCTGAAATACTTGTTTTTCCTAGGTTAGTCCAATTCATTCTAGTAAGTAGAGACAGGAAAAGTTCTGCTATTAATTAAAAATGTAAATTCAGGGGCCTTCCTGGTGGTGCAAGGGGTTCAGTCTCAGAACTATGAAGCTCTCTGCAGCCACTGCAGCATGAATTCAATCCTCAGGCAGGGAGGTGACCCACATGGTGCGGCAGACCTCTTCTGACCTGCCCACTGCTCTCCTCAATGGTGTATTTCAGTCAACCTGCCTGTTCTGTTCCCCACTCTGTCTCTGTGGATCCTCTCATCCCAGTTCTTGTATGTATAAATAAATAAATAAAATGAATCTTTAAAAAAAGTAAATTCAAGAACATGTGTGAGGGGGAACTCATTGTCCACATGAGCAAAGTGGGTCCAGGGTACCTAGAAGCTATGTACCTGAAGTTATGTAATTGAAGGGTCTGGGTAAAAATTAATTTAATTTTTTAAATATAAAAGTTTCAAATTTAATACCTAGGAATGGCATTATTGGATCATAGGGTAGA